CTCCCAGCTGCTGCAGCAGCGGCGGCCCTGGGCGGCCCAGCCCCGCGCTGTACAGCCCCGAGCACTGTCTGCCACAGAGCTGTCAAACCGCTTTCCAGGTGCTTTCCTCTGCCCTGAACACTTCTAGAAATCACATCCGTTTTCCCTTTCGCTATTAAAATGACGTGCCATTTTGTCCTTAAACTTAAAAAAGCCATTTATGTGAGCTACCAGACACAAACTAATTTTTTGTGTATTACTCTAATATGATATACAAGAACTTACTTCTTTACCATATGCTGGTAAGGTACCATATGCACATAGAGGCACCGAAGCAGAATCCATAGCTTTAAGGATTAAGGTAAGCCAAAAGTCTGACTCAGTGTTTTTGGAATCTTGTTTGGTTAACACTTGCACTCTTTAAAACCAATATTATTCTGAGAAGACAACTCTTTTCAGATGGTGTCAGCTGTCATTTGCCCTTCAACACATCACTCTGGTTGAGCTTGTCTGTCAAACTTCTGTGCTGAGAAGCATGAGACAGTTGCCCCTGAAACCCCATTTCCATTTTATCAAAGCAAGTTTAAAGTAATTCTAAACATATAATGATAAGCCACATAATCATAGCAGATTTTTTTGCTGAAGGAAACAAAATGCTACACCAATAGTTTACACAAGAGGAAATACTGACCTTTACAGAGTAAGTTGCCAAGTGCCCAGGTAAATATAGTACTTCAGAACTGTGTATCTCAAGAAGTGATCATTTTTTCTTGCAGTATAGAGATTAAGCAAGCCCTAATTTAGCCTATCTTGAATGAGGAAGAGGGGGCAAAGAACTCAAATTCATCATTTGGAACTAGGAACAGAAATGAAGTAACTATCAAATATTAATAATTTATTCTTGTCCAGACAATACAAACCAGTAAACAGAGACAAATGAATCTAAATCCAAGCACTTAATTCTCTCAACTCCCAGTATCCCCTTATATAACAGAAACTAAATGGACGCATCTTGTCTCTGTTAATATGTTATGCAAGATACTGAAGATGTAGAGCTTAGTCCAACTGTTCACTCATTGTTGATTTTTGGGTTTTGCCACACTTAGGACTGTTTTCAGGAGCTGAGAGAACAAGTAGCAGCTTCATGCTTTTAAAAAACCCAAACATCTTTCATTTTTATTTAATTTTCTTTCTTTCTTACTGTTTGGCTTCTGGTAACAACTTTATTAAACATCCAGCTCCAGAATGTTTGGTGAAAATTTACAACTGGAAAGGAGTATAGACACTTAGTTTAAAATTACTAAGAAAACAAGTCTTCATCTCATCCAGACAATGCACCAGTCTTTCTAGACAAAACCTCTGCATATGTGATATACACTTTAGAAAAATCAAAGGAGTAATCTATAAGGAAATGCAATACATTAATGTGAAACCACAAACTGGACTAGCCAGCTCTTCATTGTTTTCTTATACAATATTTTATGAAAAATTACAAAAAATCAATCAGATGTTTCATCCAACTGCAAAAGCTAATGCATACACAGACCTAATAATGACATGATCACATTTCTGCTTTCTATTTGCTGCTTTTTAAGACACAGACCTCAAAAGTTCCTGCTTAGTAACAGAACAAAACTACTAAATATATTTAAAGGTTATTCCCACAAAAAAGTTTCATCAGCTTTATCAATACTAATTAGCTTCCAGACATTACCATAGGCCTTCACTTGCTCTCACTGAAGTCAATGGCAAGACTCTCATTGGCTTCAACAGGAGTTAAGCGCTCAAAGAATAAGGCAAGGCTGATAACTTCCGTGCAGTTAGGAGTAATATGACAGGACTGGAATGCACCTTGAGATTTGTATGACTACATGTAAGTAACACCCACAAAAAAAAAAAAAAAAAAAAAAAAAAAAAAAAAAAATCAAACAATGTTTCACAGTAGGTCCCGAAATAACATATGTAAAGTGATGCAGATTCTTACAATGCTATGGAAACTAATACAAATGAATCTTGATTAATACGGTGTGGGGTTTTTTTAAAACAATACAAATCTGTGATGTTAAGTTGGTAATGAACATGTTTTGAATACAATATTACCCATAAATAATCAATGTGTTATGAAATTGAATGTCATTTTAACTAATATAAATACATTATTAAAACATAATTAATGAGTGTATTTGTGCATACAAATTTTCTCATTTTATACTAAGCTTCAGAACTCTGTAAACTGCGAGGCATTCATCGTGCTTAACGTGGCAGAAAGTTGTAATACATCTCTTCATTATTTTATTTTGTTCAGTCCTCTTCCCATCAAACACGCAAACACTGTCATCACCATTTTTGGCTTCACTTCAACCAGATCATCTGGGAGAGCATAAATACGAGCACCGATTTTTCGAGCAACGGAAATGGCATATCTTGGAAAACAAGAGAAAATAAATATTGTTAATTTCCTTGCATCTACTAGCATGCCAAGATGCACAACAAGAATAACAGATTTTAATAGCAGGATGTGCCTGTTCAGTCAGTATTTACACTCTATGAGAAAATTGTCAAGAAAGCATGTATTAGCAATTGTATTGGCTGATGTTTTGCTACTGGTTATCAAAGCATTTTTGTCAAAACCAATATGAATTATGGCAGGCTGTTAATAAACTAATTGCAGTGGAGTGCTGGTAGGTCATATGAGCTGTGAATTTGAGTTGATACTTTAAATTTGCTAGAAAAATAGCTCCAGAATA